AGAAATTGAGTTACAAATTGTAGCGCAACTCCTAAGGCAACAAAACAAGAAACACTATAGTGTAGCAGTAATTTGCAATTTTTCAATTAAGACAATTTGTTTAATGGCCAATGAGTCATGCACCAAAACTGAGTAATCCAAATGCATTATTTACGATTTTTTATAGCAAATCCAATTCAAAGTTAAGTGCAGTAATGACAAGAAAAATGCTTTAGCTAAATGAAGCAATAGAGAATTATAAAATACGAAAAGACATAAGCAATTACTTGGAATAATAGTGGATATTTGGTTAAACATTTGAGGTTATGTATATGCACACATACATTTAGGTAGAGATATCTAAAAATTAAAAAATATATATATATATTTATTTCTTAAACAGTAATGTAGAGTACTAATTGATTTATGTAATAGATTATCATTGAACATTTTAACCATATCTGTCAAAGCGCAATTTGTTGCATTTTGTGTTGAAAGCAAATGAAATGATGCTTCAAACTTAGTGGCCAGCTGGTAACAGTAAACTCAAAATTTTTAGAGAGTTATGCCGTCTGGTCGTTGACGAAATTGCATACTGATTGTGCTGGTCATACGGCTGGTAATTATTCATAATAAAATTTGTTTTCAACTTTCAGAGCTCTAGTATTTTATGAATATGAAGTACATATTTTTGTTTGTATATATGTATATGAAAAATAATAATCGAAATACCAGCTTATTCATGCAATTCTCTTCATTCAATTTACTCTTCAAAAGTGTGACGGGTCGTCGAAGTTAGCTTGTGTCCATTAGTTGTCAGTTAAAAAAAAAAGATAACAATAATTTTTCATAATGTTTGTAATTAAAAATATTCACAAAGATTGAAATGCAACATTGAGAGTTAATGAGTAAAATAAATTAGAAAGAAGTGCTTGAAAAAAAACCACATTTGTTATTTAATAAGTTGTTTCATTTACAAAACTAATAAAAACAAAGATACGCAAGTAAGTGACAACTAACTTTGGCTACGGAGGCTATGAGTTTGTCGGATCGAGGATATCCGATAAATATATATTCAAGTGAAGCATGTCATTGGAGCACATTGTTACTGCGAGCATGGTAATTATACTCGATATTGTTCTGAATTCATTCCATATTGGCAATGCAACCGAGATAATAAATGAAAATAAATATTCCTTAGTAGAGAAGAATGGACTAATGATTCTGTGATCGACAGTTCCAAAGCCAAACTCGGTGTATTCACCGATGAATTAAAGAGTGAAACGAGAACTGTAGTACGTTTCGTTTATAGCAATCCAGCTTCCTTAGAAGGTAGCTGTAAACTAAATACCTTAGGTGCGGCCATCATCAGTCTGGCGCTCCTGTCCATTCCTTTACAACCAACCAACCATTTTTATAAGATATCGTACATAATTACTTATATTCAGTAAAAAGTAAAAGAAAAAAAAATAAAGTGATGAACCGTTCTTGGATCACTGCACATGGGTCTGTTTTTGTGAGGTTGGGGTGGTAACGACCTGATTGCGCCCTTTTACAAACAAATGGGTAGGATGTAGAAATGCAATAGTCTTATAGCTAATGAAATCTGCCTTTAAAACATATTGGAGATCAGTTAAGCCGTATAGAAAATGTCATATAAATGGGAAAAAGTGATTTTTAATTTCCTTGTTGTTATTTTTTTTTTTGGTTTTGAAACATCTCATCTACACTACAGAGAACAATAATATCATATAATTTTTAGAAAAATGGAAAGAGGTATTCTGTCGCATGCTTTATAAAATGTTGTACCAAAGAAAGGTACCGACCGATGCAAACTCTCTTCACTATTTTGTGCCAAGCTGTATGACTGTTATAGAATCATATTGCCCTTTATATAGGAACTGAACCACCACCACTAATCCCATAATCTGGCTCAAACGCAATCAGTTATAACAATCGAAATATGCCTCGCCAGACGTTGCTACGTTAATGCAGTCAGGCACGCGTCGCAAATGGAGCGCAAAGCACTCATGTGGCACGTTTATTTGTTCGCTGCTACCGTGTGAATTTCGCAAGCTCACTTTACTGTCTAACCACCTAGAAAGACCAACCAAAAACCACAAAACCAACACAACACCCGAACATCTACAGTTTATTGTTGGTGCTGGTGCAAGCGTTGGTGAACGCTATTAAAACGTAAGTACCGCGACGCGTAAATGTGGCAATAATCGCCAAAAGTGGCGGCAAGTGACTGCAACGATAGAACCGTTAACAACAGGTGAACTACTTTAAGTCATTATTGAAAGAAAAGCAAAAGTAAATTCCAAAGGCGCATAGTCATTATTGTCAGCGGTTGAATATACAATATATTTATACATGTATGCATATGGGTGTATGGGGATGTATGTTTGCATGCACCTGTGTGTTTGTGATGCTCACATGCAAAAGTTTGTGAATGACATCTGTTGATTTAGTACCACACGTTTTGTGTTTTAGGGTTTTGTTTTTTGTTAGAGTACTCATTTTTGATTTTCGGTTTCAGATTTTCTTTAAAAATTATTTTTTAGCGATTTGCATAGATAAAGTGATTGATTGTCTACATTACTTAGACGTTTTTTGGGATTACATAACCATATGATGTAACATATGGAGTTATACATATTTAAAAATTATCCTTCTTATGAAAGATTATTACATGAGCGGATACTACCAAAGATTTAACGGTATTCAATAAAGTATTTTATACATTTAAATAAATACATGTATATATAAAGCGGTCCTTATTGATGATAAAGTTCCTGTAAAATATCTGACAATTCAGTGGACCAAAACCATCAACCAGAAATCATTTAACAGCTTCTGGGTAAGAGTGCTCTCTCCAACATTACCTCACAACTCTGTACCATAATAAGAAATTATACTGTCCAATTCAGATTTAAATATTACATATCTGAGAGGTCGGTAAATCTTCTATACTTCAGTCTTATTACATGTAACTGAGATCTAAGAAACTATATTTATAATATCGAGTTTATAGACCGAGGCTTTTGTTAACTAGAGGACCAAATATCCAAGAAGCAGTTATTAGGGCGCCACGCTATACAGAAAGCACTAAGTCATCTAAGTAGATAATTAATAGGCTATCGAGAGAGATAGCCGCGTTGAATGAAAACTTTTCTTTGGATTTTAGAAATTTGTATCATGAGGTCAAAGACCACTTTGTCTACGACTCTTTTGTTTACATTTTACCGAGGTGAATGACCTCTTTGTTTACTTTGAGTCCACAACCCTTGTTGACACTTAGCCAAATCAATAACCTTTGGTGACAATTGAGGTCAATGTATTTTTTTACTTTTGAGAGAGAGATTATCCTTTTGTTTACATTTTGCCGTGGTCAATGACCCTTTTTTTACATTTAACCAAATCCACAACCTTTTTATGTTTAGCAAAGTCAACAACCTTTTTTACATTTGTGGTCTTGGTCAATGGTTGTTTCCGTTTTATGAGGCCAACGGCTTTTAACTCAGTCAACCTCCATTTTTTTACACCTAGATCAATGACCTCTTTGTAAATTGTTCAGATCGGACTACTTAGCATATATTTTTCTTATAAACTGACAGTTTAGAAACAAGTCCCTGTAAAGATACCTTTTTTAATTTATAAGATATCTTCACACAATTTGGCATGGACCAGGCCAATGCAAGAATTTGCAAAGGAATTGTACAGATCGGATCACTGTAGCATATAGCCGTCGTTCAAGCTGACCTATCGTATTAGCTTAGTCCGTTTACCGTAATAACAGGTCGAATTTAAGTACTTCTCCCAATTTGTATCACTTCTACCATTAATTTCTTATGACATATAAATTTATTTAATTATCATTTTGTGTTTTTATCTGTTCGTTTAAACTATTATTTAACACTAAAAAAAGGCAGCTGCTTGCGATATTTCTTCCCAAGTATTATTATTATTGTTTTTATGTTTTGATGGAAAATATAAAAGTAGTAATTTGTGTTTAAATATTTTTTAAATATTTGTATTTAATATATATACCCTGTTCAGGGTATATTAAGTTTCCCACGTGGTTCGTAATACCTAGGAGGAAACATCGCAATTCCTGATGTTGACTCCTGTTTGTAGTTTCATTAACGAGCATACTGGCGCATTTTAAGTTTTGTAATGCGACTGCTTCATTTTATTTGGTAAGTTGATACCAATAGCAACAATATTCTCCTGAGATCTGGTATCGCCCTCAGATAACGTTAATAAATCTCTGAGCCCTTAAGGAAATTTCTGTGGAAATGTCTACATTAATTACGGAAGGGAGATATTTGACAACCTTATATGACACACCACTTAAAATATAAAAGCTAACGATAATAGTATTGTAGCAATAACCGTCAGGTAATATACATTTCCTAAGCAAATACTTGCTTTTCGGGTACTTAATCACCGACAACAGACGGGTAGTAAAATTGTGTGCACATTGACATACATAAATTAAATGTCAACAACGGCAAAAAGTGAATTTTGGTAATACTTAAGTTTTGTTTAATTACCGTCACACACATACACATATTTACAGACACACAAATATGCCTGTAAACAAGTATGCCACATAATTTACTGTAACTGTAAACATAAACACTAATTAAATTTCCAAACATTTTTGGCATAATTTCTACTTTACGATACGTTGTATGTTTTATTGTTGTTGCTGTGGCAGTAATTTCCAGCTGATATACTTTTGTGACGCTCGTATTGTTAATTTGGTTTACTGTTTTGTTTACAGTTTTTTAGCAGACGATCGCTAACACATACACATACACATGATTGCACTTTTATGCAAGCCAGTCTGACTTCGTCGAGCTTGGAGTCCTCTCTGTGTCCCGTTGTCTTGCAGTGGCCTTTCCAACTGCACTACTTTGTCTCGTTCTCTCTCCCTTTCACTCGCTTGTTCTCTTCACCGCTCTTCTTTTGCATTTTTCAACTTTGTTGTTGACTTTGCTACACGAATGCCCCAATGTTGTTGTTGTTGTTATCTATTGCTTTAGGCTGCAAAGTTTGTCGGGCTTTGCTGTTGTTGTTGTTACATGGCTTAACGATTGCATGTCGCACTTTCTTCCTAAGTATATAAAAGCGCCGAGCTAGCGAAGCTTTGGTATTATTCAGTGGTGAAAAGTGGCAACGTTCAGTTCGATCAGCACAAAGTAGTGATCTCGTTTAATGCAATAAAACGCAAATTGTTTGAAATAACAAAAAATATCTATAAAATACCTTTTTGGTGTTGAAATAACATAATTTAATATATAACTAAGCGCTCAATTAATAATAAAAACAACAACTAATTCTTTCGAAATGGCACTGAAGGTGAGCAACACGAAGGATATTTAAACGAATTAAAAAAAAAACAACCAAGTGTTTGAGTGTTGTTGGTGCAAAATGATAATCCGACAGTTTGTTGTGTAATATAAGACATGTTAAAAGTGTATGCATAGAAAAGACTTTAATAAAGCCAAGCGAAAATATTCTTTATGCTTTGATCTGTAGAAGTTCCACATAAAATATAGGAAATGCTGTTATAGAAAATTTACAGGCAGTGTTGTTTATTTTCTAATTATAAACTGTTCAGGGTGGGTACAAAAAGTTTGCCCAGAACAAAACGTCGGATCTCCTATAAAATATATGTATATTCATACATATTGTACTTGTATATAATGTATATGATCAGCGTGACGAGCTGAGTCGATTTAGCCATGTCTGTCTATATATACGCGAACTCGTAGGCCCTAAGTTTTCGAGATATCAATCTGATATTTTGCACTCATTTTCTTAACAAGATGCTGGTCATTTGTCGGAACTGCCGATATCGATTATAGTATATAGCTGCAATACAAACTGATCGATCAAATCAAACTTAAGTCCTTGCATTACAATTTTTTTTATTTGACTAGATATCTTCACAAAATTTGGCATTAATTACTGTTCAAAGTAATTGTAAAATTTTATTTTATTTTTTTTTTATTTGTGAAGGGTATTATAGCTGCGTTGCAGTCGAAGTTAACATTTCTTACTTGGTGTTTAGTGAAAAACGTCATTAAATTTGAAAGCACAAATGTGATAAGGTATTAAATATCTCTTAATTACATCCCTTAAGTGAAATCACAAAAATTATTTAATATTGCTTGAGGCTATCGTTGCAAGAATATTTCTTATGGCAAACTCTTTCCTTAATCCTTTACAACAAATACTCACTTCTTTCTAAAAATGGTTATTGCATAATTAAATATGCTTAAAAATATGTTAAAAATATTTGGAATTGATTTTACGAAATCAATGAGCTTGTAAGTTCTGGCTGCTATTGACTTCAACTTTAATGTAATTTGCTCTCGCTTTCTCTTAAGAAAAAAATAAAAATTTAAACTCTGCCGTACTTTATTCCAAGTGATTTTAAAATCGTTCTTAATTTTCCACTTTTTGTATCAATCAGATCTAATTTTCCTTCAAATCTCAATTTTCATAAAATTAAATCTTTTAGGAAACTCAATTTTTAATATTTAACAAAGTTCTTTCCTATTTTGACAATAAAATCAGAACTAATATTCCGAATTATAAAAATCTGGTCTTGATTTTAATTATCTAACTATCTAAGTAAAAGCTATTGTAAAAAAACCCTTTATTTTTGTAAAAACTCAACTTTATATTTCATCATAGGTGCCATCGTTAGCGATATACATATTAAATACATAATATATTGATTAAATTCTACTATCGGCCAATTATGGATATTGTCATTTGTTATGAAATTTAATTTTTCAATTTGCTACTTCTCTTGTATAGAGAATCATACTTTGTATTACAGTTCAGTAAACTACTTAATTTTAAGAATATTAAATGATGAATTATATAAAATACTATAATAGAAACAGCGGCTCTGTAGGGTTGAGCAGTTAGGCTCATGTTTGTTGGGGGACCCAAAATTAGTACACTTATAATTGCAATAATTATTATGTTAACAATTTTTTTGGATTTAAAGGAAAATAAAACTTTCCAACTCATCGCAATATAATCAGGCGACGTGTACAATTCTATGATAAGCACACAGAAATACATTTACTGTTTGATTATGAAGTATAGCATGCAGAGCGGTCTTAAAATATTTATCTATAATAATAGTATTGCTATTATTCTTAGCATTCTTATACATAACCAACATTGTTTTATTACACAACCATTAAATGGATTTTAGTATATCTTTTTGGTGGTAATAACTCATATTTTATAGTTGTCATATATGTATTAAAACAAAGATAAAAATTGCATATATAAAAACGTTTTCAGCTCCAGCTTTTAGCATAAAGTATACTGAGTCCATAAGTGATTTACAGCATATTTCAATGCTAATTATTAATTAATTTTACAACACACGAGTATTTTTTTAGCGGAAGATCCGAATTGCTTGCTATGTTAAATTTTAGGTGGATCTTAAAATGAGTTGCTTTCCTATTAAAACCATTATTTTTAATTATCGCTGTTTTTAGCATAACAACTATTAAGAAAATCTAAAATTTGACAATGCATTCGTTTTAATACTTTCGTTTTGGCAAGTTATTATCTTTTAATATCTCTTTTTCCTTACCACCTATGAAACATTATCGCTTAAAATTTTATCAAAACTCTAATGAATAAATTTTTAGAAACACTTCTATAAAAAATCTTTTATTGTTAACTTTTTACTACCATTTTCACGTTTAGTATTTGATTTTCGCTTCTGCGCTCTGTCTTACCATGGCTTCACCGATAGGCCATTATTATGAGGAACAACATGGTGGCTATGAGGAGCTCGGCGGACACGAACTCGGTGGTCAAGAGCTAGGTGGACACGATCTTCATCAAATCGAACGCGTCTCTTTGGGCGAGGAACATCACGGTTATGAGCAAGAGGAAGAGCATGTGGATTATTATGTGAGTAAGCGCTTATGAAGGAAGCTTTAAAATGAAAATGTTCTAATAAATAAATCTTAAAAATCACTAATAATATTTATATTTTCATAGGCTCCACCAAAATATGCTTTCAAATATGGCGTGAATGACTTCCACACTGGAGATGTGAAATCGCAACATGAATCGCGCGACGGCGATTCCGTTAAAGGTTAGTGATATAGTACATATTTGTATGCAATTTACGTAAAAGAAAATTTGCTGTGACAAGAAACAGTTTTTTAGTTAACGGTATTTGTGTTCTAAATTACTATTTGATGCTGGATTCTTGAGATATATGAGCTCGACATTCAAAATTCTAAAAAAATAAAGATGAAAGTGAAAGTTCAAATGGGCTTTATTAGAAATTTCTTTTTATTCGGGAATCCTGCCACCTATTAAAAAATATGGTTGATATTTATTTATATTCTGTAAGAGGGTGTTAATAGAAACTTGACCTATAAAAAAAAATATACATATTAAGAATATAATATTTTAATACGAAAAACTAAAATCATTTAAACTATAACTTAGCTAAGCTGAGAGTTAAACGTCAGAATTGAAAGTAAATAAATTTTTACACTAATTTTAGAGAGGGTTGCCACCTACAAGAGAAGTTGCAGAAATTTTGAAATTTGTTACTTATGTGCTTGCCATATAAAACATCGAAATTTTTAGTCATAACTGTAATTTTACTATGTGCCAATTTTGGAGTATTTGAATAGATTTGCCATGTCTTTATGCATAAAGAGCGTTGCCAACTTTCGTAAAATTGTATATCTTTAAAATTCTTATGTTGCAAAAAAGGTTCTATGAACTTTTGCGTACGAATACATTAATAGGGTTGCCAAGTAACCAGATATTTTATGTTCTGGAAATTTTACAGTTATGATCAAGAATGAATGGTTTGCAGCAAAACAAAGTGATTGTCCTTAAAGATACTTTGAGAAAAAAGTTTGGTTTTGTTGTCATTGAATATTATAATAAATAAAAAAATCATTATTTTATACTTTTCAGGACAATACTCCTTGGTCGAACCGGATGGCTCAATCCGCACCGTGGACTACACAGCGGACAAACACAACGGTTTCAATGCTGTCGTGCACAAAACCTCACCGGTACACCACGAGGAAGGACATTATTAAGGAAATTTAAAGGCATAAACGATTTAAATGTAATTGAAGCCAAGCTTAGCAACAGCGGCAGCAGCAGAAACATAGTACTTAGTAATAAATTCCAAACGAATTAGCTAAATTATAAATGAAAGGGAAGTTGAAAGGGAACACACAACAAACAAAATGAGATTACTTAATATACTCAACTAGATTTCATTACTCAATCACAAATATCTACTTTAACTGCCATCTTAGAAATTTTTGACTGTCTACGGTAGAATTTTAGTTTTTTCTCATATGGATCTTAGCGTGTATGTCTTTACTTTATACAATATATATATATATATTTTTTTTTTCTTTTTACCGAGTTGGAGACACTGTGATAGCGTTAATATTCTAACTCGTTCGACTGTTCATTACTCTAACCATTTGCCATTCGCCATTAGCACTATTGCCAATAACAAATACAACAACTATTATCACCTCTATATGTTTATATGTTTGTATGTAATTTTAAATCTACTTTATTTTCAAACTGTAATTAGTCACTATCTTTTATTAAACAGTACTTTAACTATGAACGGATGCAGCAAACTTATTTGAAAACTTACGAATTTACTTTAACTTTAACACAGAAATATTGTGACGTCATTTAAGCTTATTAAAAGTTGATATAAAAATGTGTCGTATTATTAGAAAAAATCTTATATCGTTTTATAATCGAAATTTTTATGATTTCTAACCTAAAAATTTAAGACTTCTTGCCTAAATTTTATTTTTCAACTCATTACTAACAAATTCATCGCATTAATTATATTAATTGTTGAAGTGTGAAAACAAACCGATTAATATGCACTGTAAGATCAATAAAATAAAGAAGTAATATATATATTATGCAAAAAAGTTTAATTAAGTGCAAAATTTGGGTTGCCAACATTTTTATGATAAAGAAATACGTTTTAATTTTCTTTGAAATAAATATTGTTATACATGAAAATTTTAAATAGGTTTTCAAACGGAGTCATAAACACACACATTTTATTTTTAAGTCGAAAGAAAAGACCTAAGCAACGAACTTGAGCTATGGTAAGTGCAAAGTTTTGCTCAATATAAAGCACTTCAGTAACGAACTTCTACTGCAAGGAAAGATTTTCTGATTTAAAACACCTCAGCTTAACACTTTAACTTACATTGATTTGTATGGAGGACTTAAGCTACAAGCTTTCGCGTGTCGTAACTGCATACCAAACTTTAAAGACTCAAGCAACGAACTTGCGATAGGATTTTGCTCATAACAACATCTTTCGCGCCAAAAACTGTTAGTTGACTTGCAGGAAAATCACAAAAAATCAACGCATTAGAAAATGGCGTGCAATAAATTAAAAAGTACAAAACAAAAAATATAAAAACAAGAAAAAAATCACAAAATCCATCAACACCCCGATAAATATTTATAACTTGACGCGCAACATGTCGCTTGGGGCAATTATCAAATCGCACATGACAACGACTGCGACGGCTTTTCCATATCATTGAACCTCAACTTCAGTGGACACAGCAACAAGTTTGCGAACAAGGAAAAGCTTATGACCATAACGGAAAACAAATATAAAAAAAATTGATAAAAAAAACAATCAGGTTTGTATTTTGTACGCATCTAAAAAAACACAACAACTCTATTTGGCTGCTGAGGCGCCTACGTGCATGGCGTGCGAATAGGTAGCGATTGGTCATTTTGTTGGCAGCTAAAATTTTTAATTTTCTTACGGAAAATTTTCACGATATAGTGAAATCAAATTAGTTTAATGGCGCTCAAATGATCGGTCGTTTTGGGTGCGTATGTATTTTTCTTGAAATTTGTTTTAGCATGAAGAGGTGGATCAGGCACTCGTTGTCCAACTGTATCTGATTTTACAAGAAAAGTAGGAAATATTAGTTGTTTTAGTGTTTATTGGCAGCCAGTTGGACTTTGATATGTTGTGCTAACCCCATAACCAGTCTTCTAAGTAGAGACGACCGCCTATAAAATGCCTTTCATGTATTCATGTAAAAACGAAGAAACATCATAAAAAGTCATTATCTCAAATTAAATTGCCACAATTGTCAATAAAATGCTGTTTAGGTAAAAAAATTATAATTGCTGTGGTTAAGTAACAAAGTTACTTTCATAATACGTATTTCTATTTGCTTTTATTTACATTGTTTAATCAGCTAGCTGGATTTAGTTAATTGCCTTTATTTCCTTTTACCTTTCTGCCTTTTATGCAGATATTCAATGAGCTGTAAATTTTTTGATTTGCCACAGAAACCACAACGAATTTAATCACTTTATTTGCTTTAACTAGCGCTCGTAAATTTTATTATGCGCTTTTTCTAATTGTAATATGATTATATGTAAACATATCTACACTTTAGTGTTGAGTGATTAGTTTTTATCATATAATAATAACATATGATATGACAGAGAATATTGTTCATGTTTTCGCAACTCTGTCTATATATTCACCTTAAAAAGTATTAAATATATAAGTTTTTGTAAATATCTTGATATTAAACCAAACCCTAAAGGAAGTTTTCCATATTACCATGTGACCCAAGCCAAAATTGAGCTCAGAACATATATAGTAATAGTAGGTAAAACTAAATTATAACAAGATGACAGAAAGGAGAATTTGAAAATCAGTTGCCCCCACTTTGGCCATCACATCTCATTATATAATACTAGAAATAATACTACCACTACTTTCAAGGAGGTACTTTGCTTAATGTTCGAGATTTCTGCTTAATATTAAAATACAGAAAGAAATAGAGGCATATAACGACTTCATCTACTTTTCATACCGAATAGCATCGTACTAAGGAAAGGATTGCTGCCTCATACTGACTAAATTGTATTAAGATACATAATGACATATAGATATTATATATTATATATTGAGGATACCATTAAATTGATTTTTGGATTCGCACGAATATTTCTTTTTTAAAAATCTTAGAGCCGTAACAGATAAACATCTTGAAAGGTTTCATCAAGATCGTAACCAAATTAAAACACGCTGGAAACGGTTAACAGCAATACCTGCTGATTTCTGTTGCCTGATTTACTGAGAAACTCCAATGGAATCGAATAAAAGAAAAAAAAAACTACAAAGTAGATAAACAATATCGTTTTTACTTTGGACTTTAAATTTAAAATATATGTGCTGTACATATATGCATTGCGAGTTCTTTGCTTAGAGCACCAACTATGATGAAGTCATGCATTAAAACAAACAATAAGGAGAACATTTCTTTTTTGCAGACCAAGGTAATCAGTATAGGAAGGCAAGGATAGCAATTAATGTATTTCGATTCTACAATTTTTCAATTAATTCGCTTATATAAGATTTCCTATTAAACAAGTGCAGAAGCCTTTGAAAATGATAAAAAAATAAAGAAATACATAGTAGGGTGGAACACATCGGAAACGAAAGATAAAATAACAAAGGTTAATGGACAACTAATTATCACGCGATCTGAGGTCGTGAAAAGGAAAGGGAGAGTCAAAATTTATGTGAAAAATTCAAATAAAAGTTTTTGGTTTTTTATTTTTATCCGTTTTTTAACAAATTTCTTTAAAAAAAAAGGTTTATTTTAAATAAGTACTGGGGCGATACATATTGAATTTGTAGCATTCACTCGCGATCCATTAGTCATCAATATGGATCACGATCCAAATATCACAATAAATATAGAATGTGTGACATGCCGAACGTGAATACGGGCGCAATTCCGTGTGGAAACTAAGTCTTTTATTTTTGCCACCAGTGTACATATTTTCATGAAATTTACTCTGTGCAAAAATGGTTGTTACAGCCAAAAAACTTTACGCTGACTAAAAGTATACTTCAAATTTTAAAACCATTATTACGACTATCAACTGTGGTGTATTATAGTCCAGTGAGCAATAAACTGATTTAACTAGACCGCCAGCGCAACCAGCGGTAATGCAAATAAAACACCTCAATATATTTGTGATAGGGTAGGATAAGCTTTGCCGATATCTTTTGAGCCTTTGAGATCTATCTATAGGAGTCTATAGGAAGGTTTTCATCGAGCTATATCGCTTTTTTTTTTTGGGAGTTCATCATTTTATCAAAAACTCAAAATTTGACTTGTTCTTCCATTGTTTTTTCTGACTTGCTGGTAGGTATAATGTCTTAAGTTATCAACGGGCGGTTTAAAACTTGTCATAATAAATTTGTCTTTCTTTTATATTGCATAAACTTTTGTGAAAGTCAAAAATTCAAAATTAACAAAATTAATTTTCGGTTTACATAATTTATAAGTATATTAATATTACTGCTCATAATTGCTTACTTATGAAGTCAATGGGCTAATTGAGCACAAAAATGTCACTAAAATTATGAGCATTATGGCATTTCTAACGAAAACCTATTAAATTTAAATAATAAAAGCAACAACTTATTAAAATTTTAATGACAAATTTAGCTTGAACTTTCATTTCATTTATTCGAAGCGAAATTGAAAATATTTGTGCTGGAAGCAAAATTGTAACTGCCCAATGGCAACGAAATGGGTTAAAAGGAAGCGAGAAACTGCATTGAAATTTATACAAAAGATTATCAATAAAAAAATAATAATTGTAATGTGACACAATTAACAGTTATGCAAACTATTTTCACAGTTAACCTTGAAGATTGTAGAAAACAAGAGAAAAGCAGTGTAAATATTAATTAGAGTGCGGTGGAGCAGCAAGCGGCTAAAAAAAGGTAGTCAACTATTCGCGGCCCAGTAGAGCTGCACTGATTGCGCAGCTAGGAAAACTCAACGCTCAATTGTAGTAAATATATATGTAACTGTATGCATGTTTGCAGGCATATCGCTTGAATGCGAAAACTATTGTGGGCTGTTGCAACTTGCCACCAATCGCGAAATCGACCGCCAATGCTTGCAGCGACACCAGCGTCAACATTGTTGCGCCCCAATTGCTAGCAACTGTTGTTATTGTTATTTTTCGTCGACGGCTGTGAATGGCGGATTAAATACCGTAACGGTTTGTTAGAATTCACCTCCACGAGAGTTCAGGGATGCCACACGAAATGGGCAGTTGTATGTTGTACAAACATGCGGACAAGGAGAGAAACTTTAAATGTGTAAGTTTGCGGGGTTTTGCACCAAAATGTAAAGGTTAGGTTATGTTGCAAAATTTTTGTGGTTTTTTAAATTTTTATTTAGATAATTTTTCAACGCAGTTGGGTGCTAATACTGTTTTTATGTTATATTCTTGCTATCATTGACCTTCGAATGAGCTGAGATATTTCAGTTGAGCCTACAAAGAATATGCTGGTGATCTCTTTTGTATGGAGTATGGGGCCAAAAAATTGTACGAATAGATCGATATCACATAAACCGATACGAATAGAGTAAAGTCTAAGTTCTATTCAAACGACATGTATACTCCTTTTTTGCTGTTACAAATTGGGCAGTATATATGTGTATCTGCATCCCATTCCGGGACCAGCAATCTTTCTTAACACATTGTTTATAGGATTTGTGTCAAAAAATATTAATGGGGATGTTAAATTTTAGTACGCTGGCTGCACATATATAAAGTCGAATAATGTCCATTTTGAAGATGGAGTTCAAGTTACCGTCAATGGTGATTGCTATAGCAATTTCGATGTCAATATCCATCATATAAAGGTTAATTAGTATGCTTATTTAAGCTATCGTACCTATTTTTGATTACCGAGTTATGATATAAAACTCATAAAAAAAAACAGATATACAATATATATATAAACAATTTAAATTTAATCTCTAATAGCTTTTGAACGGTGAAGTTTACGAAAAAATTGTAGGAGATCTTTTTTGTCGAGAACGCAATTATA